AAAAAGAGAGAGAGAGAGGTGCTAAATCAGGAGAAATAAAAGCAGTTACAAATGGGAAGTCTTATATTTCAATGGTCATTAACTTGTAGGTAGTGGGCAGCCTCTGAGATGGCCCCCAAGATCCTGGCCTCCTGGTATTCACTGTCTTATATAATCAACCCCTTCCCTGGAGTATAGGCTGGATTTATTAACTCACTTGTAACAAACAGAATAGGGAAGAAGTGATAGGATGTCACTTCCAAGATTAGGTTATAAAGACTGTCACTTCTATCTTGGGCACCCTCTGTCACTTTTGCCCTCTCGCTTTGATCATCTGTGCTGGGTGAAGCGAACTTCTAGGCCGTGAGCAGCCCTGTGGAGAGGCCCAACAGTCAGGGAGGAACTGAAGCCTGTCAACAACTATGTGAGTGAGCGTGGAAGAGGAGTCTCCCTACACTTGGGCCTTCAGGTGAGACCACAGCTCTGGATGACACCTTGAATGCAATGTCATGAGAGACCTTAAGCCAGGGCACTCAGCTAAGCCATGTCCAGATTTCTGACCCACAGAAACTGTGAGATGATAAATGCTGTTTTGAGGTTATTCATTACAGAGCAACAGATAACTAATATATTGTGAGATTTTTATATGAGATTTTGATATTAAATTGGCTGCAATTTGAGCTATAAGTCACTAATGCAAGAAAGTGTGACAATGAATTTAATTATAAGCACTCAGATTTTCTGTTTATCTTTGTCTCTTATATACTTTCCCCTCAGTAAGCACAATGTTGGGGTAAAGGCTTTTTTTCTATTGTTTTAATTGAAATTATTATTGAGATAATTGTAGATTTATATGCAGTTGTAAGAAATAATACAGAGATCCCTTGTACACTTTGCTCAGTTCCCCCACTGGTAACATTTTACAACACTATCATGTAATATCACAACCAGAACACTGACATTGATACAATCTACCCACCTCATTTAGAATGCCTTAGCTTTACTTGTACTCATTTGCATGTATGTAATTTCTTACATACTTTTTACTTTAAATAGTGTCACATACTCAAATTATATTCCTTTGTAATAAAAATCTAGCTGTACTACTCCTTATAAATGCTCTTTCTGATGGTCGAAGTTGTGAAGAGAGAGAATCCAGGAGTTAATTTCACACCTCCATATTAATAAACTGAAAATAGAGTCAGTAACAGAGAGTAATAAACTGTTTGTATAGATTATGTAACTGTTAAAGGAACATTCACTTACCCTGAAAGTTTTCTTGAAAGCAAATTATGAAATAGTTATCCTTTCCCCAGAAATTAATGTATTTGTGCTTGAAATTCAGATGTGAAATAATATTAAGTGCACTTAAAATTTTAACACTGCTTCTTTTTCCTCTTATGAAAGAAGAAATTAATATTATTTGTATAACAATGCCTCAGCAAATGAACATATACAAATTTCCACGGTAAGGTCAGGCAGTGTTAAAATTCATAAACATTTAGACACAAACAGCCAAGGAAAAAGTCAAGCTGATTATGAACCATGCAAAGCCAAACACTTTTGCATAAAAGAGAAACCTTAGAGAAAAACAAAGGGATACCTACTTTCTGCTGCTAGAAGTCCTAGGAGGAAGGCAGCATATGGACAAACAACAAACAGTATGATTTTAGAGCAAGCAGGTTATCAAGCCACAGGTGGGCCCAACAGATGAGCCACAAGAAGCATGGTCTCTTAGCTGAGCCCAAAGTGAGCCCTTGGGTTTGGTGAGCACGCTCTCTGAGTTCTGATTCTGACTTCTTTGATTTGAAATATGAGCACAGAATATTTCCACTTTGAGTTATAAAGTAACAAAGCAACAATACATTGTTTATCTTAAGATTAAACTTAATAGATTCTAGAGAATGTATAATGGACTAATTTCAGTAATCAAAATAGGAAAAAAACTCTTACATAACAATTATTTTACAATGTAAACAGCATACCTTAAACAGTTAGACTCTTCTTTAGATGACGAATTGGAACACAGATTCGTTTTCAATTTTTTTTTAAATTAAAATTGTGATTTGGAATAGAATTTGAGGGGACCAAAATAAGATTGCCAACTTTAAACTTTGTCAAGCGAGCTCATTAAGAAAAGAATTTTAACTACCTACCATTTATTATCATTTCATAGAAAGAACAGAAAAGGCATTATTTAAGGATGAAAAACAGTCCAACTCAAGAAAGGACAGTTGGTGACACTACACTGGTTCTCTCGCTAACTCCTCCTTCCCCACCCCCACACCCCTGTCCTATGAGCACCTGCTGTATGATCGTTTTTCTCTTTTTGACATGGGTTTGGAAGAACTTTCAGGTAAAGATGAGAAGTGCTTTGTGTTTTGTATTGTAAAACAAACCCATACAAATTTAAACAGAAAGACAGTGGAAATGATAATGGTGGGAACTTAAAATAAATGACGCAGAATTAAAGAACTAGAATTAAACAGAGAAGAATTTAGGCTTGAAAATTAATGAAAATATTAAAAATAAAGATACATTTAAAAATGAAAATATGGATGTGTTAATTTATGAAAGTGGAAACCTCTTATGCAAGTCTACACAAAATACAATAGGCTTTCAGCAACTAACCATACAACCAATCCTGTTAGTTGCAGAAAAGGGAATTTGCAGCAGGTAGACATCTGATAAATAACGCTGACAGTAGTGACAATGCCTCCCTTTAAATGGCTTAGTATTAAAAGCTGATTTTAGGAACCTATGAAAAATTCCTGATTGCTATGTGAAATTGAGGAAAATAGAATTTTTTCCAAACATTTCCCGTCATTGACGTCTGACTATATAAAAATTTCCTCTTCATTTAGGGTAGGTAATGAGACATGCACACTGTATAATAATTCTACCTTTTATTTGTAGCAGCTAGACAGTACCATTTTAAACTATTGTAGATACATCTTACACATCAAATGAAGATACAGACTGCTTGAAAGATCACTAAGATGCAGAAATTTTAGAAGAAAGAAAAAAGAAGAAATAGGGTGTGACTGCAGGAAAGGGAAGCAAAAAGGAATGCAAAATTACAAACAACTAATTTGAGGGCTTGCAGGCTACCCGTAAGACAGTGCAAGAAATTTCTTTTTTGTTTAAAAAGTAAGTACTGTATCAGAAACTATTTGAACCATACCACTTAGAGATTGTACTGAAAAAACAGAAAAAATTGGGTAATACAAATGTATTTAATAGAAAATAAGTACGTCTATAACTATAGACAATTCCTTTCCCTGAAAGAAAAATCCAGCTCTTTACAGAAAGGAATACTTAAGAGCTCATTAAACTCTTGTTTTAGAAGAGGTAAATATTAAGAGGTAACATTAAAGATTAGCTCTATGAAGCTGTTGCAAGGACCATCCTGCTCCTTAGGCCCATTTCTAAAGATGAAAATGGTATTAGAGATCTTGACCTAAAATCTCTAAATATATTCCAAGTATGTGACTATATCATGTAGTCACAGGACAACATAAAACCGTTACAAGATCCAGTTGCCCTAGATAGGGTTGACTGTGGTGACAGAGGAAAGAAGTTCCTGTTAACAACAAGAAAAAGTGACAAAATGGAAGGAACGAGATGAACTGGAAGAAGACGAGACAGGCATGAAGCAACAGGGGGCGCTGGGGAACATACCTATGACACAACTACGGCCTGGCCTTTCAAGTGCTAATAAGGGTCCTGGATAATTACCAAGTCAGCACAAGAGGAAAACAGTAAGTCCTTCTCCTCAGAGTCCTTCCCTCGGACTCCCATTCATGTATGTTTTTGGAAATCACCTTCACTCAAAAGAGGAAGATTCACATCCCAAATGGCAAAGGTCAAAATGAGGAACTATGCAGCTGCTGGAATGGGAAATCTGATCCTGTTCTTTTGCACAAGGTATAAGCACAAACCAATCTGTAAGAAACTGTGTGTGTGTGTGTGTGTGTGAGCGTGTATGTGGAGCGGAGGCAAGAAGTCTAAATACTGACAAATGCTCACGGTTCCAACATGCAAGAAGCATAAGCACATCCCTTCTTCCTATGCTACTAACTGTGAAGGACAAACAACTCATGCTTTAGGAAGGGCCCTGGGCCTTGGTTCCAATGATAATACATGAATATTGAATGAGCCAGTCCAAGAGTACAAAGAGCAATCACCAGCACAAAGTCAACTACATGACAAACACTGAGTAAATCTAATTAAAGAAAGAAAAGCTGAGGCCAGAGGACATATGATGTAGGAGTTAAGTAAATAAAAACATAAATAAAAAATTAAAACCTTTAACACACATACATGCATTTATGTGTACATACAAATGGGGCCTATGTACTTTTAGTAAGTAACCCTTGAGAATACCTCACAGGTAAGACTGAAATATGAGCATTTTATAAAGCAATTTTGTGAACTCTAGTGTGTTTTTCCAGGAGTACCTATATACATTTCATCAAATAGGTAATTCTTCTATGTTCTTCTCTCTTGAATGCTTGTAGACACGGGATATAGACTTTATAAAAGAGAAGAACCTGTAAATTGTTTCAAGAGACAATTCGCAAGACAGCTTCATGTTGAAAAGATTCAATTAAAAGCAGTGTTGTCCCAAAGTTCGATCTGCTATGGTTGACATGGGGAAAATCTCACATCAGAAGTTTTTGTTGAGGTAGAAGGTAAGCAGACAGATTCAAAAAGCCTGACTACAAATGTTGGATTGGATGAAGTGCAATGTTGAATCTGGAGTGGGGAAAGGGGAAGAAGTATTTTGAGATATTAAAAAAAAAGTGAAATGCTGGTTTGGAGCAGTAGGGGAAAGCAACTTTGGCATTAAAATGAAAAGGAACCAGACGCAAGTGGATGGAATTTGGCTGCTGACAAACTTCTTTAGAATTCCTTGGAGGATCTGACTAGGTTCATGGAAAAAGTTTATTCATAATGGAAGAGAAAGGATGTAGACATCAAAGGATTCACACTGGTGAATGAATGAATGATTCAATTACCTGAGGAGGTAGGGTCTTCAGAGAAATCTGGCAACTCTTCAGGGGGATCCCCATAGAATGAGTTGAATTTGTGACTTGACACAGCTGCTAGTACTGCCCCCTAAAGTAAAGAGATGAAACATATTATTAAAACAAACATCTAAATACAAAAAGTTAATTAACCAATGGTTATTTAAGAATTAATCAGAAAGTAAAATATATAGGAGAGGATAGCCAAAAGAGAGGTGGTTTTTAATAATTTTGGATTCCTTTAGATAAGTCACATATGCATATACCAGAATAAGAGTGCTGGGGAACGCAAAAGTATATGAAACCACTTCTACCTTGAACTCAAACATCTACTAGACAATGGAATAATCTGCAGTTACCATAAAACAATGCTGCAGAAGAATGTTACTAAAATGGAAAGATGCTTGTGATGAATTACACACAAAAAAAGATTTAAAAACAATCTATAGCATGATCTCATTTTTGAAAAAAAGTTAACACAGATATAAAAGACATATATCAAAATGCTAATAGTATTAATTATCCCTGGGTAGTAGGAATATGAGTTATTTTTCCTTTTTAAAATCTTTTTGTCCCTTTTTTGTTATTAACAATGAATATGTGTTAGTCTTATACAGTAATTCTCAAACAGGCCACATAGTTGAATCCAATTCATATGACTCTTTTAAAGCACATGCATAGTCTTCGCTGATTCCTGGTTGAGAATCACTGTCATACTGAGTGCATGGCATCCCTTAGGATGGTTGGGTAGAAAATGGTTGGGAATTATTGTTTAAGCAACAAGAAGAACGATAAGTTATTTTGTAAAAGTGTTCAATTATGTGACCATTAGGCATAGGTCTGTGTTCCTTGGCTTTGTCCAGTTTTTGTCTGCATGACCCTCCTTGAGTTAGTCATTTAACCTCTTGAGGTTTTCTCATGTGTAAAGTGAGGATATTAAAACCAATATACCTTACGTGACTGTCAAAAGTCATAATGTTTATGAAAGTGCTTTGCAAACTATAAAG